CGGCCCCGCTCCGGTGTCCTACTCCATCCTCCGGTGCGCGGGTTTTTGCGGAGGCCGGGAAATGCCGACCCTCCTTCCCCGGGCCCGTGTGTGCGTTGGCAGCTCCTGGCCCCGTTGCATCAGGAGGACCCTGGTATGTTTGTGAAGGCGAGGTGGTGGCCTGGGCGGTGCCATGACGGTGCTTCGTGGGCTTCTCTTCCACAGGAGACAGCTGCTGTAATCCACAGAGCATGGGCTACATTAAAAAAATAGTGGAGAATAAAATACCAGGGATTTATGTTCTATCCCTCAAGATTGGAAGCAGCTTGATACAGGTGATTGTGCTGTCACTCGCGTTCCTGCCTGGCAGGGTGGTGTGTGGATCTGGAGGTGTGATAGTTATTGCAGCCTGTCATTAACGTGGTTCCACAAAGATGTGCGTGGTGTTTTCCCTGCTGGTTTTTTTTTTCTGTGTGAAGTAAACAGCTTTATCAGGTACAAACCAATAAAGTCTGGATAATACCTGCAGAAAGAACTGGGGAAAACCAAATCCCTAGTCTAAATTGGATTAATGTGCAAATCCACTGATTAGTGTTCTCTCACCACTCCAGGTAATACAAAGACACATGAAAAGATGCTGTGCTAAAATAGAGCTTTATCCCTTGCCATCCTTTTGGACTTAGAACCATTTGTTCATTATACATCTTCAGTACAATAAAAAGACAGGCTTTTTCTGTGCCTTCGTGTTTTGTGTAGCCCTACAGAATTACTTTAAATAGTCTCTTGGGATAATCTGCAAGGCATGTTATTTTCTGGGATCTGGAAAAGCTGGGTGAAGTTTGATTTTATTATATATGGGTAGAAAATCTGAGAGGACTCAAATTGTTGAGAAGTTTGGGGAAATGTCACTGTTCCGCATGAGGCAGTTTCGCCAGGCAGAGCAGGAACAGAGGCCCAGTGGAGGGAAGTCTCCAAACTTGAATTTCTCTTGTGTCATATTGTGAAAGTTAAGGTCCTGTTTCAAAAGCAGAACTGTCAGTGATCTGTGTGTAGAGATTAAAATAACGTAAACCATTGTAAAGGTGTTAATTGTAATTTCTAATCTGGCTAATCCAACAGGATATGGAAAACAGCTTCTTTATGAATGTGAATGATCAAGTGAGAGAGGTGTGCAGCCAGCTCGCAAAGGACCCTCACCTGAAAGGCGGCTACAACGCAATGGGCTTCTCCCAGGGAGGCCAGTTCCTGTACGTTTACGTTTCTGTTCCTTTTCCAGTGATTTCTGTTAGGTTTTGGTTCTGATTTAAAACTCTTTCGAAGTACTGAGCAGGTCTAAACTGACAAACTCCTTGGTAGAGGCAAGAATGTGTTTGCCTGTAGCCCTCCTCCAGGAAGGGTTAATTCCTTTTGCCCAGCAGTGGCACGCTGAGGGCTGCCTGTGAGCCAGTACTGGTGGCCTGGGCATGCGGAGCGCTCAGCCCCTTCCTCTTTCTCCACAGGAGAGCCGTGGCCCAGAGGTGTCCTTCCCCTCCCATGCTCAATTTGATCTCCATTGGAGGGCAGCACCAAGGTAGTGTCTTCGGAAGTGATCTGTCTCTTAACCACTGCAAAGAGGGGGGGGTGCTTGTTGGCAGGAGGATTTTTTTTTTCTTTAGGCTCTTCCTAAAAATGGACTGTTTTCTTGTGAATTAAACTGTTCCTTTGTTCCTGTCTGAATCTGGTGATCTGCTTTGGGCCAGTTTTAGCCGACTGCATTATCTTCTGTCTTGGTCATGCTTAACTGGCAGCGAGAAGGGACCTTTGTAAGTCAATGGCTTTTGTCTGGGTTGAATGCTTATATACTTTGGGACTAGTTGTTTTGGGAGAAGAAATTTCTAACTTAGAGCAAAAGCCTTTGTGAAGCTAAACTGTCTGGGTCCCAAGGGTATTTTATAGTTGGCATCTGGAAGCCCCAAGGGAAAGGGAGGTGCTTTTTGCAGTGGATTAAAGAGGCAGCATGAAATGGAATGTAAGAGGTTGCAGTTAAGAGTGGCTGGCAATGAATTTCAAATACTCTCCCCTGAGATGTTCCATGGCTTCAGTCTATTTCTTCGTAGTGTAGTGGGAAGACTTGTAGTGAGGCCTCCTGGGAACATGCCAGGCGAGCTGGACAGTGTTCCGCTTGTCTGCATGCCCCCGTTCTCCAGAGCAACACCCTCAGCTCAAGAACATCATCTGTTATCTTTGTGTGTAACAGTGCCCAGGGGCAGGAGGGCTGTCTAATGAGATTGGGGGATTAAAGGCTGCCTGATTCTCTGGGTAATTCTTGCCACTGCCCTGTAAGAGGGTGGTTCTTTACCAGCCGGAGGGATTAAGGGATTGCAGTTTGGCTCACCGAGTTGTTAACGTCTCTGTACCCCAGGCGTGTACGGCTTTCCACGCTGTCCTGGTGAGAGCTCCCATATCTGTGACTGGATCCGAAAGACGCTGGATCTGGGCGCCTACACGCAAGCTGTTCAAGAGCAGTGAGTATATTCGTCAGGCTGCAGCGACGGGGGCCGGGCCTGCATGAGAAGCTCTGGGTTTCCGGTCTGATCTTTGGTTTCTCTCTTCTCCAGCTTGGTACAAGCTGAGTATTGGCACGACCCTCTGAAGGAGGAGGACTACAGGAAGAACAGCATCTTTTTGGCTGACATAAATCAGGAGAGGGTAAGGACCTAGCTGATGATTAATGCTAGCAGGAGAGCAGGAACCTTAGCAGCAAGTTCCTTCCTGTTGGTTCTCCCTGGCAGTAGTTTTGCTGGAATGTGAAGGGGAGCATTTTGTGCCCTGCATCCCAGGAGCGCATCAAGCATTTTCCTTGGCGGGTTTATGAATGAGACTTGTCTGTGGCAGAGCAGTTCCTGCATCACTGTGCTCTTGGAGGGGTTGGTGTGGGTATGCCATGTGCTGAGCCCACCCATCATCTGCCAAATGGGCAAATCCTCTCTGTCCCCTGGGAAGGTTGAGGAGGCCCATCCCAGCCTGGAGGGGAGGCTGGATGCCATGAGCACAGCCAAGGGGGGCTGTCTACAGAAATGCACATTCCTGCCTCCTAGTCTGGTGCAGTCCAGGGTTTCCTTCGCAGGGATAGCCAGTTCCCCCGACCCGTCTTACTGGGCTTCCCGGGGACTTGGATCTGTCCTCTGTTGCTTTCATCCAGGGCATCAACGAGACGTACAAGACAAACCTGATGGCTCTGAAAAAGTTTGTGATGGTGAAATTTCTCAATGATACCATGGTTGACCCTCCGATCTCTGAGGTGAGACAGGGTGCTGCTTTTGGGTGGCGTTTTGGTTCTTTTTTTGCTCATTTCTGGTTGTCCGTTGGTGGTGGAACTCAAGACTGGCCAGGAGCAGGCTGAGCACAAACACAGGCCTGATACTGCCCTGTCTCCAGCAGCATGTCTCCAGCAGGAGCTGGTGAAAGCCTCCTTATCCCCTGGGCGCCCTTCAGCAACTGTTCCCTGTTTTCATTCTGACAGTGGTTTGGGTTTTACAAGAAGGGCCAAGCCAAGGAGACCATCCCGCTGAAGGAGACCTCGCTGTACACAGAGGTACGTTCTGCTGGGGGCTGAGGGCTTTCTGCTCTTTCCACTCTGTAGCATCCCTGGGGCCTGGAGGAGCTTTAAGTCCTACAGCTCTTCTCTGCTCACCATGTTCCGTTCCTGGGGCATTGCCTACTCTTGCCAGTAGCAGTTTGGGAAGGCGTTTCTCTCTGGACCAGTCCTGGCAGTGGGAATTACAGTTGTGGTGTCATGCCTGGCTCAGGATCCCCTTCAGCATGTGTTCAGTATCTCTGCTCCTTTTTAAAACCTTGCCATAAGTCACCCAAAAGGCCTTTTTTTCCCCTCTGTGAGAAGCTAAAGAGCAGAAGTGGACCCCGCCCTAGCCTGCCAGCCCTTTCTGCTGCAAGGACAGTCCCTAACTATCCATGCTTTTTTCCCTGCCGCGTTCCCAGCGCCCCGGGAAGCTATGGTCATCCTTCTCTCCGCAGGATCGCCTGGGGCTGCAGGAGATGGACAAAGCAGGAAAGCTGGTGTTCCTGGGGGTGAAAGGCGATCACCTGCACTTCTCAGAAGAGTGGTTTTACACCACTATCCTCCCCTTCCTGCAGTGAAGCTCAGGGGAGGCACCCGGGGAGCACGGGGCAGGGTCTACCACTGTAGTTAACGCAGCTGCTACTGCGCAACAGCACTTTGTGTGTCCAGGCCTGCAGGGATCTGGGGAAGGGGAAAAGGGGGTTTAGCTCAGCGGTTCCAGGGCGTGCAGAGATGGCACCTTTTAAACTGCAGGAGACTGGGATTTGTCTGTCTGTAATTACACTCCAGTATGGGTGGTTGGAGCCTCATGCTAGCTGTGGAGAGCTCCATCCTGCACTGGCCCTGGGGAGTCTGCTCCATTCTCAGAGTTGTGGCTGTGATTGCTCGGTGATGGCAAAGCGATTGGCTGCACAGAGGTTTGTCTTCCCCATCACCTGTTCCTTGCAGGATGCAACGGCAGTATTAACCCAAATCACTAGTGCAGGAGTGCTGCATCTCTTACAGGGATCAGCAAGTAGACTTACAGGGCTGTAAGATGGGGAAAAGGGCCAAATCTAGGGGTTTCTGGGGAAAAAGGAGGGGTTTGAAGTGAACGGGTATTAACAGCTTGAACAGTTTTCAACTAATGGCTTGTTTTATGCACTTTTGTACAGCAACTGAAATCAATAAAGAACTTTACATCTAACCAACTGGGGGAAAACAAAAAAAAAAAACCAGGTGGGGTATTTGACAACTGCTGACATTTGGAGTTGAGGGAAGTCTCTACTTCCCCAGGAGGAAAGCATTCCAAGCAGCCCAGGCCGGGTCAGGCAGCAAGGGGCATCCTGACCTACCCGAGGTCCTTCGTGTCCCCAGAGAATAAACAAAAGCCACTGTAATGAGCAAGTTGGCATTAACTTTATTCTATCTTCTGTATAATCTTAAGTACATAAGAAAGGTTTTTTCACAAGCCTCAGGAGAAGACAAGTACAAGTCACAGGACAGTCTCAAAATAAAAAAATTGCATATTTTTTTTTTGTAAGTTTTGTCCTAGAGAAAAAGAACATTGACACTTTACAGAGGAAACGCATTTAAGATATGCTTATGCCACCCGAGGCATTGGAAAAATGAAGGTCAAAGCACGTGCAGCTCCCTTTATGGGTCAGTACAGTACTGTGTCTTGGATCCATCCCTCTGCTCCAGGGCCCTGGAACAGAGGCTACGAGCTTCCACCAAATTAAAGAGCCAAGCGACAGGGGAAGGGAAGGTCGAGAGGATTCACCTGACGGGGACCGACTGCAGATAAGGAAGAGAGTGATGAACCACCCTGATCCAACTCGGGTATTTACAATACTGCACTACTGACCCTGGAATGGAGGAGACCCTTCCTCTGCAGGAGGGGACAGGTTCAGAAGAACTGTCCTGGAAGACTGAACCTGAGTTCAGCTGCTCTGAGAAGGAAGCCCTGGGGCAAAGATTCCCTTGTGAGGGTGGAGGGCTTATGGAATAGGAGGTGCTCAGCTCCAAGCTACCAGCCAGACTGCCGGGGGGGTTAACCGCAGACTGCACTGCAGTCTTCCTGTGGCACTGGTTAATATGAAGCCTCCTGTCATGGCACAGGCAGAAATACACTGAGCTAGTAGGAATGATGAAAAAGAAATCAGGGTGGAATGCTACGGCCCAGGTCCTCAGCCTTTGGTCCAACAAAGCCATTCTCATGTCCCGTAATGCCACCAACTAGTACATAGAGCTGGAAGTAGCAGCTTCCAGGAGAGACATCTGCCATAGCAACTGGGTACTCTGGACCCTGACATCAACCATTATTTGTTAAAAAGGGGACAACATCCCTATCTCACATGAACAGTTTGCTTAAAGGCAATACAAAAAAACCCGAACAACACTCCGAAAGCCAACTGCCAGTACTGGCTGTGACATTCACCAAACATCTGACTCGATCAATTGGTGCAGTTAGATCGCACAAAGGGGGAGAGGGAGGGGAAATACACCTTCCTGCTAATAGATGTGAACGATAACTGACCCGCCACCTACACCAAACCCCAGCCAGAGGTATTTCAGTGACGGCAGGTAGCTGTGTCTCTCGGGTAGAAGAGAAGCAGTTTGAGAGCAGAAAGGTACAAGAAATCTAAGAGAATCATCTGAAAGCAGATTTGTCCCACAGCAGGGCCAGGGAAGGGCGTGAGCCTTGGAGCTTTTCTTCTTAGCCAGCAATTTCCGTCACAGTGGTAACCAACTTCTGACCGTTCCACACTGTCTTGAACTGTTCTGGGATAGGGAATTCGGTCTGGGGAGTAAAAATAGAAATCTGTTCTCAGAAAACAGTTTGTGACCGCGACTGGTAACTACTCCCACTGCTTTAGCGTGTATCTAAGAAAGGCCTATGTCCTGCACCGCAAACACTGCCTGTTCGGCCCCTCAGGAGATCCTGAGGAAGAAGCTCCCACAAACCAGCAAATACCTCACTGTAAAGACAACTTGATTTGCTGGTTTTAGCATCTGATGATCATTCACAACCCTCAAGTCTCGAGTCTATCGTTGACCCCTCCGAGCTCACCATAACAGACATCCTGCCCTGCATTACCCCAGCCGCAAGAAGACCACAAGGTTTTCAAGAGTTAGCACTTACAAAGTCACCCCCCTCGGTGGGAATAAGGACATTCATCTCTGATGACTTGGCACTGACGATTTCGCAGTCTAGGGAGTTCTTGCTCAGATACACGTGGCAACCGTCTGTCTTGTTGATGGAAATCGTTGGCACTTTACCCATTACCTACCAGGGTGGGCAAAGCAGCAGTTAGAGGAGCATTAGCGTGAACCGGGCAATCAGTATTTTAATTCTGCGCTTGGCTTCGAGGCAAGAGGTTTGACTCCAGCCCCACACCACAGACAGGCTGGATTCAAGTGCTCCCACCTTTGGCAAAAATCCAAGGTTATTTCTTGTTTGGATCTCTTCAGAATGAAACCACAGTGAACACTGGACAAATCGACCATCCCAAATCAGATACCAAAACTGGAATCAGAGTACGTTCTACTGCTGGCCTCCTGCCTCGGCAGTCATGCTGCACTGCCCACCTCACAGAGAGTAATCCTTTACGGATGCCCCAGCCCTGAGAGTGTTCAAGGCCAGGCTGGATCCTCACAGAGTGTAATGCTTTACAGATGCCCCATCCAAGGCCAGGCTGGATGAGGCTTGGAGCAACCTGGTCTAGTGGAAGGTGTCCCTGACCATGGCAGGGGGTGGCACTGGGTGGGCTTTAAGGTCCCTTCCCACCCAAACCGTGCTGTGATTCTGTGATTCACAGCTCAGTGAGGCCAATTTCCACCCTTTCCTAAGGGCTGGCAGCATCAGAGGAGTAAGATAGATGGCATTTCACAGATGTTCTCCACAGATGCACATTCCTGTTCTGGAAATAAACCCACTCCAAGCAGCAGATGCGACAGACACCCCGTACAGTGCATCAGTCATGCTCCAGGCAGAGAACAGGTCGTAGGCACTCACCTGAACTTTAACGTCCCTGCTGTTGATGATCTCCACGATGCCCACCACGTCATCAAACACCAGCCCTAGCTTCTTACAGTTGTCTGCAAAGGCAAGACAGAGTGGTCACAGAAATGTTTTGGAGATTCAGCCTCCTGCAAACACACCGGCACGCAGCAGCCGTTCTCAGGGTTTCTCCACTTACCAAGGGTGATGGAGTTGATCTTGCCTTTGATTTGGAGCGTACTATTTGTGCACTTGAAAACATAGGCTACCTGCTTCAACTCTGTGTCACTGATTACCAGGTTAGTGGCATTCTCCTGGTTTTCCTGAAGAGGCAGGGAAAACGTACGTTATTTTGGAACGCAGACTGGTTAATCCATGTGAACGGCAGGGCAGCGCAGGCCCTGTAAAAGCAAACTCCATGTACCTTCAGGCTGGTGCCTCTCCTCTCTTTAGGAGACCTTCCATCCCTGCTGCAAAGCTCCCCTCCCTCCACCCCACTCCTGCCAACACCAGGCACTCACCACTCTCCACTTTTTGCCCTCTAATTCTAGCAACGCGGGGGCCTTCGGGGAGGTTTTTTGGGAGGGATTAGCATTGCAGGCTGGTTTGGGAGCAGTGAAAGGTTTGGGTCCACTTCTCAGAGGACCCCCTTGGTTCTTCAGTGCTGGATTCTTGTGGGTTTTCATGTCATCTGAAACATGTCTTAAGCCTGCAAGAGAAGTCAAAGCTGAGGTGCAGCTCTCCTCCGGGCATGCAGTTTCACAAACGCCAGCCATTGGTGATGACGACAATCACGATCACGTTTTTCAAAATGCAGCTGAATTACTGAGACTGGGCCTAAATCAATGCCAAGCACGAGGGACAGCAAGCGAAGGAGGGAGCAAGAATTCTGATGGGAGAACAAGATGTATTGTAGAACCAGAAGGCGCCGGCTCTTCCCCTGTGCAGGTGGAAAAAGCCTCCAGCCAAGCACCTCGCCATTGTTTCACATGTCCTGACAAGCTAAGCAGGTAACCAAAAAAGGGGTAAGCTTTGTGCAACTATGAACATGTGCAAAACTGCACCTTTTGTATGGCAACCAAAGGGCTCACTGTCCTTTCAGCTGCAGACTAATCTCTTGCTACACCGACAGGCGAGGCTGAGGGTTCTCACTCAGATGTGCTGCCTTTGTCCTGTGCAACCGCTCCTGGCTCCCAGCCTCACGCTGGGACCAGATGGTCTTTTGTTACTGCAAGCTCCTTCCTAAGCAGGTGTACTGAGGGACAGCAGCAAAACAGGGATTCGCGGCACTGCATTCCTCTCGCTCGCAGCTGCCCTCCCTCCGCCAGCCATTCCCACCTACCAGAGGTGATGCCTTCTCCCCGATTGATCTGGGCGAAGAGTGCGGAGCGGGAGGCAGAGTCGTCTGTGCTGGAGCTGGTGGGGGCAGGAGCAGGGGGGGGAGGAGGGCCTGGTGGGGGAGGCGCAGCCCCGGCTGGGGGAGCGGATGGCGATTTAGCCCCTTCCGTTGCCACAGGACCCTGTAAGAGGCCAGCAAGAGGAAAGGCAATTGCACAAGCTTCACATCTGCTGCAATAACCATGCAATCCTCCTCTAGGAACTCCTGCAGAGGTAGCCAGCACTTACTGTTTTGCTCCAAGTCAGCCCTGTGGTGTGATACTCTTTGATGTAGGCCTGCAGCTCTGTCCAGATGCTCAGATAAGCTTTCACCCAGTCCA